TATATGTCTACGTAAATTATCACTTATTTCACCAAATGAAATACCTCAAACAATTATATCAAATTCTATAATACCATTACAAACAACAATAAATAAATTAGATTCATCATCACATATTGATCATTTATCAACACCAACAAATAGTGAACCAGAACAATCAAGTCTTCTTGCATCATCAATAGGACTTAATAAACGTTCAAAACGTTCACGTTTTGATTTAAAAAAAACTTTACAACGTAGTAAAAGTATATGTATGACACAATTTAATTCTTGGCTTCAACGTCATCGACAACAACGACATTCATCTTTACCTAGACGAAAATCAGCTACAGATTCAAAAACAACAAAAGAAATAATATCATCAGCATGTTCAACACCAAAATTACTTGGTTCACCTCGTTTAGCTCGTATTCATCAAAGAATATTTAAACAAAATCTATCTTCTTCTTCACCATTATCACCATCACTTTTAGAAACACCACAATTAATAGAACTTCCTTCACTATTATTATCATCATCACCACCACCACCATCACAAGTATTCGATGATTCCGATGAACGATTTCAAAAACAAGAACCTCAAGTTCGTATTTATTTACCAGCTCGAACATCTTCAATGATTCGTCATGTACGAATTACTGAAAAAAATATTATGAAAGATAATAATGGTAAATCTTCACCAATATTAAATCGACGAAATTTATCATCAGCAATGAAAAATAATAATAATAATAATTAAAGAATGAAAAGAAGAAAATTACTTAATTATATATAGACAAATTTTTGTTCTCCTTTTCTTTTTTTTTGATTTATAACAAACTAATATTCTTAATATATAATTTGTGTGTTTTTTCACATCATTTTTTTTTGTCTTTTTGACAATTAATTTCACTGAAAATATCCTAAAAAATTAATATGTTACTTAGTATAACATGTTTAAAACTTGACAAATATAGAAATCACTAATATATTTGCGTGTACTTATATTCTTGTTTATCTCTATTATCATATTAATCGGATATCCTTTTTTTTTTCTGAAAATAGTCTTATAAAGATGCAAAAAAAAGAAATAATTTCAGTTACATTGACGTAAATGTCAGTATGTTTAGAAATTGATGTTAGATTATAGAACCATCTTACGAGAAAAGCAACTATTCTAATTATACTATCTGGTTTTTTTTTTTTGGTATTATCTATATAATTTTTTACATTTGAATATATATAATCTAGTATTTTAAGAGCAATTATGTTTTTTTCAAGGTTTTCTAAATAGATATAGTTTGAAATAACATTATACGAGAAGAAATCTTTCACAATTCTACACAATGTTTTTAGAATTCAAAAACAAAATTTCATCGTCCATAGTTGTAAAATTCTAGCATAGTTTGTTATTGGATAAAGTTATGTCATATTTTCTTTTGTTTGTAGAGAATAGAATGTAGAATAATAGTATTCTATAGGGAATAATATTCTAATTTCTAATACTATAAAGAATAAATTTTATACGAAATAAAAATCTGTTGAAATTGTAACTGATAATTAATTGGATGACTATGCCTTTTTAAATAATGAAAATTTCTTTTGTCGATTGATTTAAAAAAATTTTTTTTTTTTTGTCAAAAAATCATCGACCAAGAAAGTCTGATAGGTGAAAGTTTTTTTTTTATAATTAACTGATCCTGAAAGATCATTGGTGGTACAAGTTAAATCTTGAACAAACTTTGACATTCTAAAATCTATAATAAATTCGATGAATTATCAGTTAGATTCAAAAATGTCAATATCAACAAGTTCTGATTTTGATATAAAATTTATTGTTTATACTATTTGAAATCATTATGAGTAGTATTGTTATTTTTTGACATTCAAAAACCAGAAAATACATTTCTGATATCAAACAATCTTTTAAGTTTTAACTTAATAAAAAAATGAGAAAATTTCATAACAATCTCTAATCCTTATTTTAAAAAATCAGAGTTAAATACAAAACATAGAATTATTAGATACATTTTCTTATGAGCATGTGTTTTTTCATCTAATTTAATAGTTTTCAATAAATCTTAGGTGTATAGGTGAAATTAATATCTATCAGAGATGAAATCAGTTCAATTCCAAAAAACAAAAAACACGAATCAATACCAACATCTCCTTCCCTTCCCCCGTCCAAACATAGATAAAAAAAACAGAATAATATAGATAGCCAGTGAAAAACAAAAATTAAGCTTATCTTAGAATAAGGATAAGACAAAAATGCCATCAGATATTAATAAGAATTTTCCTTCATATTTTTTTGAAAAAATGATATAGTATAATATAGCTAAATGTTGATTAAAAATGTAATAGATACAATATCAGAAAAACATTCGAAAAATAGAATAGATATCAACTCTGACCATAATGGTATTCTAATGGAAACATATTATTGTACATTCTTTACATAGTATGCCTGGTTTTTTTTTTTTGTCACATATTCGAGTGACATAAAAAATTGTTTTTTTGTCGATGAATCCTCGAATAGAATATCAACATAGTAAAGAAAGTGATGAAAAGGAATTTATATATTCAATAGAAAATTTTTTTTTTTTAATTATGTTTTATTTAATATGTGAAGTAAGAATCTTAGTGGTGTGAAATTAATTTAAACGATCTTAAAAATGTCATGTTTAGTTCTGTGATATTTGAGAATAAAGTTTTTGTATTTAAACTCGATAGTTTTGTTTGTTTGTTTGTGCACTTGAACTTTTCAAATAAAAAATAAAAATACTAAAATTACGATTCCATTTTAATAAATATGAAAATAAAACGAAAGAAAATTTTATTTGATAGTATAATAAATGAAAGTAGATAATATTTGTTGAGGTGAAGAGAAAATTTTGCAGTTCAATGAACGTAACATAATATGATTGGTCATGAAATGACATTCTATCTATTTTAGTTCTTAGTCATATAAATAAAAAAATATCATGAATATAATTATATAACATCAAATAACCATATTTAATCAGATATGAATGCACATTGGCAAGAAAGATTTTGACAGAATTATATTTCATTTATCACGTTTTCCTTTTTTTTTTATTTTAAACAAACTAATCATGATACATATTATATATATATATGAATTGTATTAATGATTGGTTTATACATTCTTATGAATGTTACTCAAATGCTTCTAATCAAATTAAACAATACAATGAATCTAACGTTTGTGTCATTCTATATATACACTCAAATTTTTCTAGAGATTCTTTATTGTTCTCTTTATTTCATTGTCAAGAATATCAAGTAATCCGAGAGGTTACATAGGGTCTTTTTTTTTCGGAAGTTGATCATCTATATACAAAAGATGAATAGTCTATTCGATCTGCAGTTATACAAAGAGCTTAAACGGAAGTCTAACGACTTTCTCATTGATATTTGCAATAGGAAAAAAAATATTCCAAAAATAATATTAAACATCCTAGAAAAGATACCTTATAATTTTTTTTTTTGTTTCTTTGGTGTCGACATCAAATGTCCTGGAAAGAGACTCACATATATATTATTCTATATAACAAAGATCAATATAATAAATTACGTCTTTCTTTATTTTATTATTCTTTTGTTGTACATGTATTAGAAATTTTTCTTTATAGACTCATTTGTGAATAATGAATAGAGTTAATGTCAAATACAGAATTATTGATCGACAGAGTTAATACGTAAAAGAAAAAAAAATGACCTTTTTATGACATTATCTGAGTGATAAAAAATTATGAAGTATTTGCTATTGTTTTTTTGTCACAGGAAAACATAGACAAAAACAACAGATTATTAAGAATATCTAATAGTTTAAGGGATAAACCATTACAGAATTGTTTAGAAGTCTCATTATAACTATCTATTTTAGTAACTTAACGTATACTTCATAGTGTTGACAAAATTCTACAAAAAAATACATGTTCAGATTGTTGTTTCATCTAATGTATCCGGATATATGAATGTTCAATAACTATACTTCTCTTCTATTTCGATTGCATGATTCCAAACTATTTTCAATATCTATTATCAATTAGAAATAATTTTATCGTTATTAGATTAGGAAACAGATTTTTCCGGTAATATGATAATTATATTTTCTTATTTTCCGAATCTAGAAAAAAATAGAAACATACAATGTAGAACAAAACAAAAATGTACTAAATACAAGTAGACATCTGTTTGACAATAGTCTGTTCTTTTCTATGTATATAATCAGACGTCCTAATGCTAATTACATAATCAATTTGAAAAATATAATTTATTCATTAATTGAGCTATAGAAAATGAAGTTTTTTTTTTTTTTGTTTTTTTGGAAAATTTCCGAAAGCTTTTCTACACGCTCTAGATAACATGTTTTTGAATGACTTCTAATGATGAATGGAGTTTTCTTTTTCTATAGAGTAGAAACATTCGAAAAGAAAAGAAGCAACGGAAGAAGAAAAATACTTTTCTAACAATGAACCAATTATTAAAAATGTATTACATTTTTATCTCTAAACCTATTTAGATACGCATTGTGATTTTCTTTTAACAAAAAAACATATATATGTTACATATATATTTGAGTTTTATTGATACGAGTAAATATTTTTTAGGTTATACATGTAATAAATTCATTTGTTTCCAGTATCTATCATGAGAATTCAGAATATACCCATGATAATTTTCTATGAGACCTATAGTCAACGTACTTTACAACAACAAAAATAATGAATTTTACCATTTACTTTCTCTAGAAGTCATATGATGCATCTTTATTTAATCAGAATAGTACTAGTGGGTTTTTTCTCGTCTCTTTTTCTCTTATATATGTATTCGAAGAATAAAGCACATCTGTCATTTGTATATTTATCTTTTTCATGAAGTCTATTCCTAGTTGACATATGAAATTCAATTAATTACAGATTTTTTTTTGTTTTTTTTATTGGAATCTAATTCATTTTAACTATTTTAGATTTAAAATTTATAACACAATTTCAATGAATTGCAGTGAAGGTAAAAGAATTTATATATAAAATTGAAATAGATTTAAATTAAATACTTTTTTTTTTTTATTTATATAAATAAAAGATCCAAGTCGATTTGGTGAAAATGATTTTCGTTCATCATTTGCATTTTGGACATTAGGTGTTATAAGTGTTATATTATCATTTCTTGCAAATGCTGGTAATTTAATTAATTTATTTGTTCTTACACGACGTCATATGCGTTCAACAATGACAACACTTTTAGTAACACTTGCATGGGCTGATCTTGTACCTCCAACAGTTGTTTCATTAAATAATATATTATTTTATTATTTTTTACCACATATGAATAATTCATCAACATTTTTAACAATACATATTATTACTCGTTCACTTTTTAATGTTTTAGCAAATATATTTACAACATTTAGTAATTGGCTTATTGTTTTAATTACAACATTTCGATTAATTGTTGTCAAGGTAAGAAAAGAAGAATTAAAAGATATTCATTGTTAAATTCTTAAGAAAAAAAACACCTAAGAATAAATAATACTGAAAAATAAATATTTTATCAAAAGAAATTCATTGGATTATTTTAAAAAGAATATAAAGCTTCTTTCATTTACCTCGAAGCATGAAAGTAACATGGGAAATTCTCACTTGTCTATTGATTACAAAGACAATCTTATTTAATCTATTTTTATTTTTAAATATATACCTTGGTGAGATTCAAATCTCTATCGTGACAAAAGAAATTAATTGAAAATAAATAATTTACTAAAGAATTATTGAATTATATAAATGTTAGTATAGAACATGAATAAAAACAAAAATGAAAGTAACAATCAATATATGAATACATTTATTTAAAAAGAATTTGAAAACTAATTGCTATGAGTAGAAATCAACATCATTGTCATAATTCAAGGTCACGATAAACTTTTAATGCATTTATATAATCATTATTTTTTAATTCTGTAGAATTCCCGTAACTTCATATATTCGAATTTTTTCTATTTTTCTTATCATCGTATCTTACATATAGATACTTTTGTTTAATAATATTTGTTTTGTTGTTTCACATAGTTCGTACTCAGAGTCATTTAATACTCTTCTTAAAAAAATCTTGTGATATATATAGATCAGATATTCTAGCCATAAGTGATTCGAGTAGAGTGCAATTAACAGTAAAAAAATACACATTGGAAAAAATTCATAGAAACTGGTCTGTTGACGACATTGCCAAATGATATACTATCAAGAATAATGAATTTGTCATTTTATCTTTCAGTTTCCGGGCAACATGATTCAATTTGTTCTATATCGAATAAGAATATTTCTTTATTTTAGTTTGTTTTTATTCGTCGAGTAAAGAACTTGAATGAAATAAGTCGGCGTAGTTTTGCATACTATTAGTATAGTTAGTCGCTTTGTGAAAAAAAAATCACATTAATATACAATCAATCGAATTTTTACTGACTCACTGTTACGATCACAATAGTGACCATGTCGTAGTGGCAGATCTGGATCATGGTCAATCAATCGTGATTTTAAAAATTAAAAAAAAAAAAAGATTTACTTCCGGATTGAGCATTAATAGCTGCAATGATAACTCAGATATTTCGTAGAGTTGAATGATTTTGACAAGCCATGTTAGAATCTATTTTTTCTAAACATTTTGTAAAAAAAGAATGAATTATATTGATATTCTATTTCGAAATCTACAATGATTTCAACTACATAGTTCTATTTTGGTGCTAAATAGACACTGAATGAGATCAAACGTTAGATTGTCAATTAAACATTAGAAAAGCTATAAATATCAATCAGTTACATTCATTTATTGTTTTCATGATTAAGTATCTCAGCATGAGCTTATTCGAGTGCCAGTAAGATGCATAAGAAAAAAAAGAGAGTTATATTCATCAAGATCTGGATTAGAAACACTTAGTAAAGCAATTATATTTATAGTATTAACTTCTCACAGTCAATTATTGCGGAGATGATCGAGTATCTGTCACTGATGAATATACATTTTATAACAAGAAAATAGAAGTAGAATATAATTTCAAATAATAATTTATTCTTCTTCTTGCCAATAGATTTTCCTTTGAATCATTACAATTTCTACTATGAATATTTTGTGTTGTTTTCAAATTTTAACATTCAAAAGTCAGTTAAACTAAACAAAATGCAACAATTGTATCAATATTTGATAGACTCAATTAGTTTAGTTGACGATCGAATCTATAAAATATTCCACATATAACTCATATAATACTTTCGGAACCATAACAGAAGTTGTATATTGCAGTCACAGTTGTTCCGGTTCTAGAAACGGAAATTGAAGAGTAACGAGTATACTCAGTTTACTAAAAATATACGAAAATATTGAATGATTCTATATAATTATATATATATATATATATTCTAATTTTAGAAACCATTAGTTGCAAAAAATTATTGTAATCGTCGTACAGCTCGTCATGCTATTATAATTATTCTTATTCTTTCAATATTTATCAGTTTTCCATTATTTCTTTATACAAGTATACGTATTTATTGTACAAATAATGGTCAAATAAAATATTATGGTCTTGAATTATCATCAATATTACATAGAAAATTTTTTTCACATTTATTTTATCCAACAATGGTTATTATATCATTACTTATTCCATGGTTAATATGTTTTCTTATATGGTTATTTTTAATGCGTGCATTACATTCAGCACAAATACAATTAACAACAAAAACAATGAATACAACATTTACAAATGATCGTAAACAAGATACATATTTTCGTATAACATTAATGATTGTTTGTGTTTTATCTGTTTATATGGTTTGTCGTAGTGTACATTTATTTGAAGTTATATATTTATTAATAACACAATTATTTAATTTTCAACAACAAATTTATTTTGAACAAATACGTATGAAATTATTTTGTATATCAAATATAATGTTAACTATAAATCATGGTGCAAATTTTTATATTTATTCAATAAATCCAAAATTTCGTTTAACACTTAAATTATATTTAACATATTATTTTCGTCGTTGTAGAATAAAACGTCGAGAAACATTTATATTATTTCATTTAAGAAGACAAAATTCAAATGATAGTTTAGATGATTTAAGTGTACCATGTCATCGAAATCGCTGAAACATAATAACTCGATGATTATCCTTCATTATATCGATAATAGAAGTAATTTTATTTAAGTAGACTCGATTTTCATTGTTACATGATGATGAATTTTATATTCACAAAATAGACTGCTTTCTTTATTTTACATGAATAAAAAATATGTAAAACCGATGCGACATACGATTACACATATTTTAATGAGAACACAATAGAAAAATAGAAAAACAAAATAACATTCATATGTTCAAATTGTTATTACGAATTTGGATTTTTCATAAAAATTACTCCATGCGTATACGGTTTTTTTGTTAATAAATTAAATATCTAAAACTAACAAAGGAGTAGAAATCCTGATTAAAAAACAGGACTAAAAAGAAAAAAAGTCATCTTAAAGAAGAAAGATAAGTTTTTCCTTTTACAAACTCGAAATATTTCTCTAATTAATCAATAATTCGCAATCAGTTACTGAAATCCATGATTAAATTCAATTTATAATCGATTTTCCAAAAAAAAAACCATTTATTATGTCATAGTCACAATTTTCACGACATGAACTACTAAATGATTTCATCCGCTCATTGATGTTAACATCAGCAAATACGATGACACCTAGAAAATTATTATAATGGAGTTTTGCATCCAAGAACAAAAAAATATATAAATCGATTTTTGTATCCGAATTTCAATATTGAAAATATGGAAAGAAATTAAATAAAGACTTAAACATTCACATCGATATTTCTATCGATGATTTACTTTCTTTTTTTTTTGTAAAATAAAATTTATTTATTTTGTGTTTTAAATATATTAATGAGCGCCATTCTTAAAATTTATTTAGTTTTTGGAATTGATATATTTTATCATATATTATAAATATGGATAATGATAATCAAGTTTGGTGTATTCCAAATGATTGGTAAGAATATCAATTTAACAAATAATTCAGTCGACTGTTCTTTTTAAAGTTAATCTTTTATTATTTTAAATGATATTAACAAAATATGATAATTTATACGATGAAAAATAATTCTTAGATCTTTGCGAATTTGATTTCTATCACAATTGCAAAAATGTTAATAAACAAAACATATTTTGTATTTTTTGAAGTATATAATGTAGAAAGTTTTACCGATCAAATTCGAATCTTTATTATGAATAGTAACATGATATTTTGTTTTTGAACTATACGTCATCTCTACGTTAAGCATTGACGAGGAAAAATTTAATAAATGTATCACATTCTTGATTTGATATTTACAGAAGTAATTAAATGAAGTAAAGAGATAAAGCATCTAATCTCCTGCTATTGGTAACATCAGCTAAATCTCGAAATGAAAAGCATCAGCTAATTGACAGTAAAGAAAAGACTAGAATATCGTCGAATTAAGTAATCTTGTCAATACGGAATATCACTATTTATATATGTTATGTCATGTATTTCGCAGTTCTTTTTTGATGGATATGATTAATGCTAAAGTGTATCAAGTAGCATGTGTACAAATAAATTATTGTATGAAAACAACAACACAGATAGATATAAAATCATTGAATAGGGCACGAATAAATGGAAGATAATACCTACATTCTCCAAAATTCGAACTAACTAAGAAGAAAAATTTATTTTTTCGACTAATATCAAGTCTATTAACGAATGTGACAAGGCAGCAAACGATAGATATATAAATCTTAATCTATTCTTTCTCACAACCGATATCTTATTAACATGTAGTCTCTTGTCTTATCTTACGAAGGAAGGTCTTCCGACTGATCCACGCCATTTTCAATGATATTTTGTCCCTGTGTCGAGGACAGTATTCTAAGAAAAATCCTAAGAGAATTTAGGCTGTGGAACTTCCTTCGAAGGTTATGACCATTTTACTGATCTTTTCATCTAGTACAAGACATAGAGAGAAAAACTGAACAACGAATTTTCAATAGACAATTTTGTTCATATGTAAGTTCTGGTGGTCATTAGAACATTGTAAAAGTTTTAGTGAAAGAAAATCTTTCTTTCCAGAGATATTGATTCTTTAAAATTTGTCTCATAATCTATAAAGTTCTGAAAGATGAACTTTTTTTAAATTGAATATCTCTAGAAGAAAAGATTTTTTTGCCACTGAAACTTTTGGAATGTTTCAATGAGCACAAGAATCACAGATAAGCAAAATTTCCTATCGAAACTCCGTTGTTCAATTTTTCCCTATGTCTTGTACTAGATAGAAAAATCAGTAAAATGGTCATAACCTTTGAAGGTAGACAAACCCATCAGCCTAAATCCTCTTAGAATATTGTTCCCAACATATGAACAAAATATCATTGAAAACAGCGTAGACCAGTTGAGAACTTTCCCTCGTTAGTCTAAATATAGGAAGAACAAGTCAAACATTATTATTCTCTAAATAAGCATAAATTACAATCACTTTCAAACTAAATTTCAAATTAACATTTAAACAGAATCAAAGCCAGATCCTGTCGGATGTAAAATTTTCGAACCATACTTTGATATTCTTAATGCAAGTACCCCGAAGATATGAGATATTCTCTTCGATTTTTTTCGTATTCAGTAAACAGCGAACTCTAAACATTTCTCAGATGACTAAAGTTCGTTGGGTCCGAGAGATAGAGATGTGCGAAATCGGAACCAAAAAATAAAACTTTACTGAGACCAGAACTAAAGTTTATAGTAAAATACTCTATTGCTTTAAGTAAATTATCTTATGAAGCAGAACACAAGTTCACAGAATAACGAAAAATAGTGCTAGTAATTGACTAAATAAATCAAAAAGATGTGTATTGATGAAACCAAAAACAACTTGATCCCGTATATCTCTAGTCCGAGACCAACTCAACAGCGTCTAATCACAGCTTTCTATGTTTTTATTTTGCTAGTGTTCCATTTATTGCGGTAAAACTTCATTTTTCAACATCAATTCTGAATGAAAAAAAAAAATGTTTTAAGGCTGCTTTATCATGGCATCAAAGACATATAAATCTTGGTCATGAATTTATATTGGATACTACCGATAAAATTCTCACACAAATTCGTGATTTAATAGATATAGATGAAGTAAAATAATTGTTTTTTTTTTTTTTGTCTATATAAATTTAATAAAAGAATTTCTTTTAAAACTAATTGATTGATAAATGGCGATCAATTGTATTCAAATTAATTGAACGTACACTTGTTAATTCAGTAATTTAATTATAATTAATTATTTTAATTTATTAATATTATTCATAGCCGGGTATTAATCAAGATTTACTTGTAGCAAATATATCTGAAAAGATTTTTTTTGATTATCGATCAACCGTAAGAAAATTTAATTAATTGGAAAAGTATTTTTTTTTTTGTCATTGAAATATTTAGAAAAGAAATATTGATGATACATATGAACAAGGTATTAATGAAGTATTTAATCAATATAAAAATATAATTTCTTCACGAGTAGCTAGTGGTGATGTAAACTTCTTGTTTTTTTTTTTTCACTTTTATTTATAATTTATTCAAATGAAAAAATTTTATTTAATGATAGATACCTGATCAATGTGTAAAAGAAATTGTATGTGCTATTGAACAATTTAAAAATCGTCTTTTAATTCGAGCAGAAAAAGTAAATAGATAAATAATTTATAATGATAGATTTTGTTTGTTATTAGATGATGAATGGAAATAGAATTGATCAAATGTTTAAATTAATTGAAAATCATTTAAAAGAAAAAGAATATGTAAATTTAATTTTTAATAGAAATAAATAATTTTGAATTAGTTTTCTTTTATTCAGAATTCAAAAAAATTAGATTCAACTAAAGATGAATTTAAACAATTAATAAATAATCTATTAGATAATAATGAATTTGTATAGAATAAAAATTCTTTTTTTTTTCTTTAAATTATCAGAATATTTAGAATAACTTAGACGATGAGAAAAAAGCAGGTAGAATAATAATTATTATCAAATCATTTAATTTCCACAATCATATTATAAATTAGATTTTGTTCAAACAAAATTTCAAAAAATGATTTTAAATAAATATAATAATGATCCAGTAGATTATTTTGTAATATTTCCATGTTTAAAAAACTTTTTACTTAGAATGTACAAACAATTGTTGATAAAACTCAATCTTCTACTTTACCGATTACACGAAGTTATATAGAGAAATTAAAAACTAATCAAGAAGATCAAAAAGCAAATCTTAATGAAAAAGTTCAATCATATCAAATCAAACAACAAGAACAAAGAGATTCTATAAAATCTGAATCTATTGTGACTCCAAAACTTCATTCATCTCATCAAAGAACAAAGAAATTAAATTCAAATCATGATACAACTCCTACAATAACAAAAGTAATTTTCTCATGTGTTCGAATCCGAAATTCAATGATTCATTTTATAAAAAGAAGATCATTGATTTACAACATTTCTACTCTATTTTACTACATATTATTTTTATATAAGTTTGAAAATGTAATTGAAATTCTTCAATATTCTTATTTAGCATATTTCTAATGATTTCAATGAAAAAGAATATAAACAAAAATTTTATCATTCTCGAAAAGAGAATGATTATGATAGGTAACACAATTTTTTTTTGTTTTTCTCTCTCTTGAAAAATCTTTCAATAATTATATTTTAGTCAACAACTCTTGAATAACATTATTTCATTTACTAGTAAATAATTTTTTTTCTTTTTTTTTTTTTTTTATGATAAAGAAAAAACATTTCTTTTTGGATAGATTGTCCTGATTATGATCCATATAGAAATTATGAGCAATACAAAGCAAAATGTTTACATAACAATAAACAGAAAAAAAATGTCTATTAAATATTGTTTGTTTTTTTATGAGTTAATATAGAAAAATTTTATAATGAATCAACTCGACATACAATAACTAAAATATCATCTCGTCCATTGGCTATATATCCTAAAATAGAATAAATATATTAAATAATTATAAAAGAAAAATACAAAAAGTTTTACCTTCAACTGCTTGACTCAGAAGATCATCAGCTAAATCTTGTAGATGCTAGAATATAAACAATGAAATTATTATTATATATAATTAAAATAGTTAAATTACTTTATGAGTATTTCGTTTTACAATTTGATGTAATTGATCATTTTTAATTACATCCCATAAACCATCGGAAGATAAGATAATAATATCATCTTTTTGAACTTCAACTGTATCCAATGAACAATCTCGTAACACTTCACTAAAAAATTATAATCATATCGAATTCAGATAATAATTAAATATTGTTGATTCTCTTGAATGTCTTTTTTTTTTCTGTTGCTCAAAACTTTTTCAGTCATATCAGACATATTTGGAACAGTTCATCAGAGAACGTTATATCAATGCATCCCAATATAATCTTCCTATGATGAGCAATAGCAACTACATGATATTTCACATTTTAATTCCACAAAGTTTTCATTAACAGATTTATTACCTAGACAATATGTTTGTCTGTAATATTATGAACTTTTTGTATCCGAAAATTCATTGTCTATTTTCCAAAAAAAAAAGAAAGAATTGAATTTTGTATAGTTGACTAGGAGAAAAAATTTAAAATACGATGTTCCAATCTAGGATCATTTATGTTTTTTTCTTTTTATCTTATTTTTTTTAAAATAAATCATTTAAATATTACAAAATAATATTATTATTTGTATTGCTTTTTTTTTTCTTATATACATTTTCAAAAGTTATGCATTCATTACAATCCGATTAACTGAAGCTGGTAAATATCTAGTTTCTTATTAGCAGAAACAAAACAATCTATAATCACAATATCTAGAATGTATGATTACGATTATATTATGAAACTTTGAAGTAGTTTCAAGTAATTCGATATATTTTTAAGTACTATCCGTTTCAAAATTGAATGTGCTTCATTGGTTTTTTTAAATAACTTTTGATAGGAATATCATAGACACCTGTAGTTGTCACCATTCAAGAGAGAAGATCCTGGACCATCAAAGTATATCGAATTTCGATTGGCCAGCAATTGATCCATCAGGTGAATTCTCGGTGAAGATTTTCGTAAATGATATTCTGAAGCTATCTCACTTTCAATTTAGGCTCTTAATAGGACTTCTTTGTCTATCCGAATCTAAAACCAAATATTACTATTCGACTCAGTACGGTGGATTATCCATTGCCTAGTGACCACAGGGCAATTGACTGAAATTGGGAGTCTCAGAAAAAAGTCTAATAACTCTCGAACGGAAAAAACTATGAATGTCGATCTTACGTAGATCGAAAGAGAAGAATTTTTCTATTGATTTGTCCTATTAAAAGTCTAAACCGAAATGAAAATAACTTCAAAATACTATTTTCGAAAATCTTCAACAAGATCTTATCTGATTAATCAATTGAAATTCGATATACTTTGATGATCAGAGATCTTGTTTCTTGAATGGTGAAAACCGCAGATCTCTATAATGTTCCTATCAAAAGTTATTAAAAAAAACAGTAGAACACATTATATTTTAAAAGCCTCTAGAATGTTAACTTTTACTAACTTTTCATTAATGAAGCATGGTAAACCAAGTGAACCGTTAACAGCAAATAATTGTCTTGGTCCAAAACCATTTGAACTCATTGTACATTTTGATCGACAATAAATTTCATTATTTCGATATATAACAAAACCACTATCACCAATATTAAGTGATGTTAATGTATTTTCTTGTTTATCAAGTGCAAATAAACATAATGTACTACTACCTATAATATATATATATATATATCATGTTTTTATTTCTTTATTAAAAAAAGTTTAATCTTAAATAATGGCGAAACCAGAAGGTAGCTGAAATGGACTCTAGAAAATACCTGCTGTTCAATTTCAAACAAGAATTGAACTTTTTTCTACAATTTTTTTTTTCTCTGACTCCACTACTAATCTTAAAAGACAAAAAAAAGAAATTTTTTTACCTCGAACATGACTTGCTTCAACTTGTTGCATAGCTGAAAGAATAAGTCTTGGTAATTGATGTGGTTGAATATTAGATTGATAAAGAATATTTCGACAAGCAGCAAGAATAGCTTGAGAAAAATCAGCTGGATTTATACCAAATGAACGATTACCACTAGCACCATCAGCCAAACCTTCAAAAAAAAAAACAAAATTTATTTATTTATTTATTTATTTAAAATAAACTTACCAACAAAACAATAATCACGATTTTCAACAATCATTCCAGCATCATCACCAAAATCTCCATTAGTTAAATTTAAATTTGATAATGGTAATTGACCACGCATAGATTTTGATGCACCATTAACAGCAACACGTAAACATAATTTTGTTTTCATTGTTGCTGGATATATTCTTTCATGAACAACTTGTCCATTAAATACTTGATAAGTACATGTACGTGATGATTTACGTTTAAATGATAATTGATTATTTTTATTAATTATTTTTTCTTGTTTATTATTATTATTATTATCATTATGTGATTGAACACGTGTATTATATTGTTTATTTGATAACCATATTTCATCATAGATTATTTTAGGTTCAATATTAAATGATGATAATTTTGTTTCATATTGACGATTATTATTTTGTGGAGATGTATTTTCTTGACTATTTTGACGAAAATTTGAATAACGAACAAATTTACGTGTTAAACTATAATAATCATAAAAATCAAAAAAAAAAAAGAAAAATCAATTATTTTCGTTATGTAGGTTATATTTGTATATGCTTCTATTTTATCATCAATGGTAGGTGTATTCCGATCTAGAGATTCACTTAATATCAACCTGAAACCGGTTCATCTAGAACAGATTAAGGATCAAGTAAGTTATATTTCAGGACAAGTTTCGGTTTTTTGCTTTTGTCCGAAATCTAGCAGTTTGAGACTTATAAGGATTTTTATTGCTTGAAAATCACATTTCTAAAGTAATGAGTGAAGTAATATTGTTACGAACTTACATATAAATATTAGCTGAGAGAAATCATAAGAGATCTTTCCTAATTCTTTGTTACATTAACATAAGAATTTTTTGATTTCTATTGTTGACAAAAAACAAAAGGTTTGAAAGACAGTGATCGAACATGTTTTATATTAAATGATTTACAATTCTGAATACTTTTCCCAACATTTTCTCATAATTAATTATGTAATTAAATATCAATACTGTAACTGTAATAATTAAACATAAGGTAAAAATCTGTATATGAAATGCTTAGAAAAAAAACAAACAAATTGAAAATGGATATTTTTGTCATAAAGCATTTTATTATTAATATTTAACAAAATAAAGTATAGAGTAATACTATACAAGTTAGTTGAAACTCACAGCAGTTACAAAGTAGTTCTAATCACAAACTTAAATAACTTGTAGCGTTATCTACTAGAGAAAACTATATAATGTAAATTCTTTTATTATAGACTACTATCATGTATATTGCTAAATTTATTGATGTTAAATTCAAAACTTTTAAATTTTTATTCACATATAGAAAAGAATAATAATACTTTTCTAAGCAGTCGTCAATACACGAATTTCAAAAAGTTTCAAATCCGTAATTTGGACTCGATGATCAACTTCAACAATTGTATCGACTTTCTAGATGGTATATTTGCATACATCTCAATGCATGAAAATTTTCTAAAACTCTCAATACTTCGTTCAGTTCTATTCATTATCTTTGAAAGATAATTGTCTTTTTTGAATAATACAAAAAAAAAAACACAATCATCTGTCCGCATTAGGAGAGAGTTGCAAATCCACGTTTTTGTAGATCTCGATCTGATCGAGCACAGTCGGAGATGTGCGGAATTATACCAGCGAGAAAAAAACGTTGGTTTTAAGCGAATTATCTTCTATCATCTCTCAATCTAAAACTGAGCATTAGTCGAAACACTGTATCTTGGTAGGCTGACATCAGTTTTCGGATATTCAGACTCGAAGTTAAGCACAAACTGAATTGCACATTAAATCTGTATATAAACCTGAATTCGATAAAGACTAAAACTTTAGGTCCTACGCGACTCAGACGAGTTCGGGTCCTGGACAGCCAACTCCATCATTAGGAATAAGTGATGAAAGTGAAATAAAGAATTTTGTTTTTCAGTAAACTTCTATGTTAATATTTTTTTTTACTTACGATCGTTCACTACTCGTAGTTGAATCATATTTATGATTATTCATTGTTTGATTTCCATTATCCATATATGTACTTATAATTCCATGAAATTTTTTACTTTTCATCATCTTTGATTGATTTTTATGATCATAAAGATATTTTTCTTCATTATCATTCATTTTAATCTTTCGGTTTTCTTCTTCTTCTTCTTTTTGATGTTGTGATAAATCTTTTGTTCGATTCATCAAATATTAAAAATTTGACCAATTCGCCCTTGTCCGCTTTCTCTTCCTCTCGTTTTCTTTCGTTTACTTATCGAATGAATATGCATATATATATATTTATATACCATCGAACAAAATATATGAACCTTTTGCGCTTGATCGCACACATATGTAGATATGTAAAAGTTTACATCATCGATTTATAACAAAAAAAAAATGAAACTACATATAAAGGACAGAGCACAAAAAAAATCGAAATAACTAAACTTCTTGACGTAATGAAATATCCATATGTGTCCATCGAATCATGTAGTAATTTTTCTTTCCTATAATATAAAATTAATTTTTCTATTAATTAGTAAAATTATCTTTCTTCTTCTTACCAACACGTAATACAGTAATCTTATTTGGTAATATATGAATACCAAAAACGAGTATAGCATGAGGATTTGATAATTTTTTATGATTAACATAAACACCACCATCATTAATGACTTTAAGTGCAACTAATTTATTTGAAAAACATTTAGCAGACATACATACATCGAGTAATGTAAGTTCTAAACAAAAAAGAATAAATGAATAATTGAAAATTATAACATTGTTTATAGTTAATTGGAAATTTTATCATTACAAAAATATTTATATTTGGAATTTTTATTCTACCAATTTATTCCTATCAGAATTTCAAAAGAAGGCATCTGGAAAAAAAGCTTATAACTTTCGGACGAAAAGTTATAACGACCTGCGGTTTTCAGCAAACGATAGAAGATTATAGGGGGCACATTTTTATATAAAAATCAAGGTTTAAATAATTAGTGATTGTGGAATCACTGAAAGAGTAGGCTCGTTATTTTGTGAAATCTCAGCAGAACAAGCTGAAACTTTCAGCATATATAGCCCAACTGTGCTTCAATCTTCGCTGAAAATATCATCGATAAATCTTGTAATGACGAGGAATGGTGAGCCAATCATCATCTGGTCTTACATAAGGTACTCATTCAATCAAAATATTAGGAAATGGCCTCAACTTTTGGTTGAATAAATACCATAATCTAGACTTCATATCTATGCAATAGCATCGCGCTTTGAGCGTAAAAATGTACGGTAATAGCCAAAATTCGACAAAGAAATGATTTTCATACAATAAGTATCTTAAAACAAATCTTTCCAACTTTCTTAAGAGAAATGCAGAATTTAGTAATATTTTCACCGTCTCTTCTCGTTCATTTAATCAAACTATGATATAATTGCATAGATATGAAGTCTAGATTATGATATTTATTCAACCAAAAGTTGAGGTCATTTCCTAATATTTTGAGTGAATGAGAGTCTTATGTAAGGCCAGATGATGATTGGCTCACCATTCCTCGTCATTACAAGATTTATCGATGATATTTTCAGCGAAGATTGGAGTACAGTTGGGCTATATATGCTGGAAGTTTCAGCTTGTTCTGCTGAGATTTCACAAAATAACGAGCCTACTCTTTCAGTGATTCCACAATCACCGATTATTTAAACCTTGATTTTTATATAAAAATGTGTCCCCTATAATCTTCTATCGTTTGCTGAAAACCGCAGGTCGCTATGACTTTTCGTTCGAAAGTTATAAGCTTTTTTTCCAGGTGCCTTCTTTTAAAATTCCGATAGTAGTATTTATTTAATATTGTTATACAGAATAAAAAGAAACTTATTTGTATTATCAGATACATAATTCATTTTCTCCTAATGATAATATGTAGGATGTTTATAAACGCTGCTTTACTTAGATTATTTACGAATATATGGTGGTATTTTACAGTAGACAGTTGTGAACAATCAATTATTGCAACGGATAACTAAACTATTAAAACTGTTGAAAATCTAATTATCGAAGACTGTTGGATTACTTGAAAGAAACGATTTTTCTTTTCGAGTTTATAACTAGCGATCAATCGTGGATTCATTACCACCAATAAAATTGAAACAAGAAAAGTCTGCTAATAAAGTTTTATATTCATTTTTTCTGGGATCATAAAGAAATAATTGTCAAAGAGTTTGTACTGGTGGACAGGATCCATGCGAGAGTCTTCGGATTGGGAAGATGCGAAGGGCTCCAAGGCAGTCAAGATTGAGGAATATAAAATTTTTTTTGCATCAGATCTGATGTTAATCTTTCTCCGCTGATCTATCAAATTGTTTCAATGGAAGAATTGACTAAAATAGAAAGTTTGCTTTTTTTTGCTTATGTTGTTAGAAAGGGAAAATTATTGCGACGTTCTTAGAGATTTTGCCATCGAAGACGATCATACTAGTGACGACTGTTGGAAAACGAAGCTCTTCAAAACAAGATCGAAGTAAAATTGCATTAAAAACAGAAAAATCACAGATATTTTTAGGTCGAGTACGCTCGCGTAATCACGTTTTCGCAGGGCATACTATGCACTCACAAGAGAACCTCTTCAGATGCTAAAAGGCTTTTGAGCTCAAATTTTGCCCATAGATAGGGGATGTAAAGACTAGAAAAACTTTAAGAGAATATGAGCGCAACTTGCAATTTGGTTGAGACATCGACATTTTGCTACAATCTTCTTATGAGATTCGACTTTTCCGATAAAATCAAAGTTTCGAGTTTCGACCTGAAACTTTCCATACGTCGAAGTCTCAATCAGACTAGCGTGGCTACAAAGTTTCAGAATTTTCGAATGAATTATCTTCGAGATACCAGTATGTTAGCTTATAGAGGTCAAAACTCGAAACTTTGATTTTATTGGAGAAATTGAGTCCTATAAGAAGATTGTAGTAAAATGTGAACATTCTCTACCTATGGGCAAAATTTAAGCTCAAAAGCTTTGTAGAAGTTCCTTCGTTAGATTCATAGAATGTTTTGGAAGATTCTAGAGACTTCCACAATAATCTAAACACTCTTATTAATAACATGTCTTTTCCCGTTGCTAGAACGAAAGTTGCAAAAATCTTGATTTAAATTTATATCCACACTATTATTTCCACAAAAAAACACAGTAACGATTTTTGTTTTTTTGAAAAAACAAAATTAAATTATTTTTGTTGTTTACCTGGATTAAGTGACATTTGAATTGTTGGTACACTAACAGATAAACCATCGATTTCTTTTTCAGTTAGATTATGAAGTAAATCAATATTTTGAGCAAACATTGCTTGAGTACTACGTATAGCTGATTCAAGTCCTTTTTCTAAACATTCAAAAACAAAAAAGATTTCTTTTGAATATAATTATAAGATATTAACCTCCATGAACTAGTAATGTTATTTGTTTAGCTAATTTAATTTGAGCAGCATATTCATGAGGTTTTGTCTTTAAATAAAAAAAAAAAAAAAAAATTTTTTCTATATTAAAATATTCAATTATTTTAATCTTACTCGATGTATTTCCATAAGTTGTTGAATTTCATTTAATGGAAGAAATGTAAATATTTTTAAATATTCTTCTACTTTTGAATCAGGTGTATTACGAAAATACTGAATATATATAGATATAAAAGAAAAATATAATATTAATTTTAATTCAAAAATTAAACTATTAACTAACTTGATAACATTCATAAGGTGTAGAAAGATTTTCATCAAGCCATAAAGCATTTCCAACACTTTTACCTAATTTTTCACCACTTTCATTTGTTATTAATGGTACAGTTACACCTTTTAATATCAAAAAAAAACAAAGAGAAAATTCAATTCAAAATAAACAAGTCATTGAATACCATAACTATCTTCTTCAAAATTTGTCATACGAGAAATAAAATCATGACCAGTTCGCATATTACCTATTTGATCAACACCACCAAGCTAAAATAAGTATAAATTGATTATTAGAAATTAATAAATATATTTATAATTATTCTGAACAATTCAATTTGTTAAAAAAAAAATAGCTCAGAATATATAATTAAAGTATGTTCCTTCACGTTTAGGAATACATAATACGATGTCTAATGAATGTTATACTTTAAAATGACGCATAGACATAGTATTGAGTTCAGAGATAGGCTCTCTAACTTTTGACTCGACTCTAAAATAACTTTTTAATGTGTTAACATTATTGAAAACTTTTTGTCTAATGTGGGAAATTCGTCAAATGATAGATCATTTTTTTTAATGAATCTTATCTGATGAAGCGTTCTAACTATGCATAAATCAAGTTCTCAATAGGACTAATTCGTTGTAGAAGTGTCAGTTTTTCTAGTATCTCCTATCCTGAGATAGAATTACCGGAATAAAATTTAATCTATTGCATAACAGAATTTCCAATATTAGTATCTGAAAATCGGACATTTTCACAATGGATTATCCCAATTAAGAACTTTATTTGTATATAGTTAGAACTCTTCATGAGATAAGACTCATCTCTAAAATGATTTATTATTTGATAAGATTCTCTTATAGAGATGTGTAAGATTAGTCTACTATACTCTATAATCATGTTCGGTCAATCAAGAGAGGGTCCATGAGCGGATCGAGCATAAGAGGCATTCCATAAAAACAGTTTTTTTTTGCTCATTCAGTGTATCAATATCTAAAACCATCAATCCCAAAATTATAGGTTCTAATACCTTTCCTTTGAAAAGTTAGTCCATATTGACTTTTGTCACGGCAATCAAAATATGCCAAAAATGTTCGTTTCCCATTGAAAAACCATAAAAAATCTTCAAAAATTAGAAGGTATAAGCCCCATTTGGCACCGAGTATACGCTTTTTTTAAAATATTTCTTTAACATTTTGTAGAGAAAAATAAAGCTATACAACATATGTAAAATTCAGCTTGAACTCTCTTGATTCTGAAACACAGCAGCAGACATTGCTAAACATTATTTTATCATCATGTAGCTCATTTTGCTCAGCTTTTAATTCTCTATCTTTTGATATATACCATAAGAAATGTCCATGATTTGTTGAAACGCAAGCCAGCACAGCCTTTATAGGGAATTTTTTCCTCCCAAAAAAGTATGATGGTAACAAAAGTCGATATTGGCTAACTTTTCAAAGGGAAGTTATTAAAACATATACTTATGAAATTAGTGATTTTAGACATTGATGCATTGAATGCGCAAAAAAAATCAAAAACAAAATTTTTATCTAATGTCTCTTATGTTCGATCCGCTCGTGTACCCTCTCTTAATAGAAGTAAGCCTAAAGAAAGATAGTAGATTCACACATTGACTATATACTTCAAGAAACACTCTAGCAATTATCTAAATATCAGACACTGTACATTGCTATTCTTTTGTATGATTTGAATTAATGCTATCGTATTTCACATTTTAATCTTGAACGAATTGAAAAATTCTAGGCATGCTATTCGTTTAAAAAAACATTTAAAGTATATTTTATTAACCTGAAAATGACAACCATATTGTTTAAATAAACAATACCAATCATAAGCTTGATAAAGTTGATAACTAAATTCATTATATCCTAATCCATCATGAGATGTTTCAATACGAGTTTTAATACTAAATTTATTAATTATAATTCTTTGTTTTTTTTTTTTTGAGAAATTTCGATTTCAAATAAAAAAAAAACTTACACTTTACGTGAAAGTAATTGATTCATTCGAAAATGTGGACCATATGTTGCAACAAATGTAATTGTATTCATATTTTCATAAAATGATAAATTATTAACTACCCTTTATTTAAACAAATATTAATTAACAAAAGAAAAACTAAATTTCAAAAAATTCTTACGTTAATGGTAATAATTTTTTCTGTTGATCTTTCCAAAAATATTTTTCATGATTTTGAAAGATCAATCGTATTAAACCTTCAATATTCTCTGTATTCAATACAATATCTTCATTACTTAAATTTTGTTTACGTTCTTGTAATCGTCCGGATGGATCACCAATTAGTACTGTGGCACTGCCTAACTAAATTTAAAAGAAAAACAATACAACAGACAAACACCAGATCAATCATTTTCGGTTCCGGTCAAAAAAAAAAAAAAAAACTTGGTTCCGATTCTCGATCGGAATTATTTCGCCCATATTTATCAAATATATACTTACGAGTGCAATAGGTTGATGACCGGCTCGTTGCCAATGAAGTAATCCAATTAGACCTATGAAATTATTAATTTTTAAAATAAAAATAAAAATAAAATCTTAACTTACCAACTAAATTACCAATATGTAATGATTTTGCTGTTGGATCAAATCCACAATAGATTGTTTGTTTTTTTGATGTAACAAGTTTTCTAAGATGATCACTAAAATATAAACAATTATAATTATTCTTTTCTTATAAATTTATATGAATATAGAAACTTACTCAGTTTCACTTAGATTATCACAGAAATATCCACGTTCTTGTAATTTAAATATATCACTAGAATCACTTGATAAATATCGTTTTGATATTGTATTACGAATAGAATAATAACGTATTAATGAATGTTTTATTATGGTATTTATCATCTTCAAAATAAGTTTACAAAAACAAAAAAATAAGCATCAATTTTAAAATAATTACTATTATTGTTTGAGAAAGAAAAATTGACACATTAAAAAAATGATCAATATTATATACTTTTGTTTGATAGATAATAGAATGTATAAGAAAAGTACACTCAATTTTAAATCAAAAATTTTCTTTCCAAGCATCTTGAAAAATTTTTCTTTTTCTTTAGCAGAATCCCAACGTTTTATTCTTCAACAATCCTCAAAATCTTCCAATGAGTATTGTGAGTTATCGAACTTCTTCCCGAATCCTAGTAGCATTTATTTAAATTTTTTTCTTTTTAATAAATTCAATAAAAATACCAGATTTAGAAATATTTCAATGCCTAGCTAATGCAATATAATCATAAATTATTAATGAACAATAAATTCAATCTAATTAAGAAACTCAAATCGACATTTCCTGTTGAAATCCTATATAAATAATAGAAGTACATATGATGTACTATAAATATGATTAAAAAAAAACTTTAGACTTGACATAAAAGTAAACGGATGATCAATTTTATTAGCAAAGCTTTTTTTTTGGCATGCTAGGATGGTTCCCTAACGAATAGACTTGAGCAAGAGCTCTTGTAAATCACCCGAAAAAAAAAACAATCAGAAAATTTTCTCTGCTGACTATTTGGACTACAAAATAATACAAATCCAAAACCGATCATACATCTGATTTAGATCAGCACATTTCAAATTTGCGCATTTTCATAGTGGAAGTAGTTAGTTCACCATATTTTTTTTTTGAATGATTGTAAACGGTAGTGACTGTTTGTGTAACGTGATTGTAGATGATCGCATATGAAGTAAGGGGTCGAACACACTAGAAAAAGTGACTTAACTTAAGACAAATTTAAGCAACGTGATTGGTTAATTTAGACTTAAGTCATCTCAAAAAGATGAATTAAGTCTGACTTAACCAATCACATTACTTAATTCAAACTTAAGTTAAGTCAGTTGTCTCTAGTGTGTTCGACCCCTAACTGTTTGAATAAAGATTTGAGCTGTGTTGAATGATCATGTAATTGACAAAAGCCGCGCGAGCAATGTCATTCAATAGAAAATATCAATTTGTTTTTTATTTATCGTGATGGCAATATGAATAATACAAAGATATTCCATTACAACTATGAATATTTTATATCATAAAATTGATTTTGATTTTTAAAAGAAGTAGTTGAATCATATTGAATTGTTCCTATTAAACGAAATTGATTACTAAAAAAATTAGAAATTAAATTACTATACCAATAGATATATAAAGAATATATTTATTGCAAGATTTTTTTTTCTCTCTCCCTATGAATACATGATCAAATTTGTAAATTAGCAAGATCATATATTTACAAATATATTTCGTTCAAATAATTTGTTCATTAAATAAAAATTATTTGAACATGATTATCATCAATATAACGTGAAATTTTAATATTATATTCATTTGACATGATTATCTTTGTAATACATATGAAGTTCTCGAATAGTTATTCAGTTACTTCCTCTATGTTACTTTTGATTGGTTATTAATAATGAAGTCCATGAGGAAAGAAAAATGGCATATGTAATCCAATGATAGAAATACGTCATGAGACTAGAAGGAATCACGCACCCAGCAACGCGTCAGCCACACAAACAATCAACCAATTTTGATTCATATATGAATTTCTATTGATAATTCAAATATTTCAATTTGAGATAAACCAAAACAAAAAAGCTATGCCTATTGAAGTTGGCCTTTCATCTTCTCAACAAGATTCATTTGAACAACATGAAGAATTAAGTAAACTATTAAATGAAACTGATGTAAAATAAAAAAAAAAACATTCATAAATAAATATTTAATTAGTTATTACATAATTTCTTTTCTTTTATCATAAAGGTTTTCTATGTTCCATTACGAAATGAATTTGGTGATAATAGTCTCAATACAAATCAAGATTTAACTGAAATAACAAAACGTTTTGATGAAGATCTTTCAAATAAACATTTAATTGTGGTAAATAGAATTTTAAATATATATTCTTTAATTTTTTTTTCTCTTTTATATGAAATTAAATTTAGACATTTCGTGATATTGGTTATTCATTATTTCTTGATTCTGTTGAAAGTATTCCTGATGAAAATGATCAATCAAAAGTAAAATTTCTTATTTAAAATTAAAACAAAGAAAATTTAAAATTATAATTTAGATTCGTGTTTCCGGTAAAATGATTGTTGATGGTATATGTGTACAATTTTTTGGTTGTTTTGATTATGGTAATAAAACAAGAAAGCATTCCGATAGTCATACACAACAAATAAATGGTGTTGGAAGAGTTGAATTAGATGAAAAATATTATCAAGAATTATCATCAACACAAGTTTGTTTTATATTCAAATGATTTTATATTTTTTTGTTTTTTTTGTTTTTATTTAGATTTCATCTCGAAGTAATATAAAAGAAGAAAATAAAGATGAAAAACAAAAACATTCTGTTGAACCAATAATCATACGTCGAACACGTCAACAAACAGCTAAATTAAAACAACGTGCTGAAACAATGACATTAATAAATAAACCTCAAACACGTTCACGAACAATAAGTGAAAGTACATTACCAAAAAATCGTACAAGTATTTCAACAAGTCCTCCACCACCATTACCAATTCCTATAACACTTCCACATTCATCTATATCAACAACAACAACAACAACAACACGTTCACATATACATTCACCAAGTCATATGCCATATCCATTACGTTCACCACGTACAAAACAACATCGTGCTTCATCACCACTTCATTTTCCTTCTTCATCATCTACATCAAGAAATTCAGGTAGATTTGAAAAATAATTTTATTAAAATACATTTTCATAGGATTATTTAACTTTTGTAATTTTATTGTAAAACATATGATGTTAGATTATGCATAGAAATATTTTTTTGTTAATGTTAAACTTTCGAATAACAAAAGTGATAAATGTAGAAACAATTCGAGATTATCAGGATTGAATGTTTTAAAATTTTAATAAAGCAAATGAAAATCTTGAAAATTCTTTTATACTATTTTTTTGAATTTAATTTCATTAATAATATTACAGAATGAATTTTTTTATTACAAACTATACTTTTCTCATCTTTATAATTAAAACACTGGATCTTATCCAAAAATGGAATGATTATATCACAACTAAAGTCCATGAGATCTAAGTTCGAAAATTTTGCATCCGACAGATTTCAATAACAACTAATTTTTTTGTGAAATACAGTCTAAAAGCTTTGTTTAAGTAGAACAGTAGAAATCTAGATCCCTCACAGTCTATGACACACTTACACAGGGAAACTCTTTAACTACTCTTCTTCCGATGTCAATGAGTTTTTATCTATAGATACTACATAGTATTCTGATAAAAAAATTCTAATTTGATTAAGCTATTGAATTTTTTAGATTCTAGATTTTCTGAAAACTTGTATTTTGATTTGAAACTTTGTGTATATAGAGAATTCAACTAGACTAACTTTCATAAAACAAAATTTCGAAAAATTTAAGACTTCATATTAAAAATTTGATACCTTAGTTAAATATCAATAAAAATTGAAATTCTTTCAAAATTTTTATTAGAAAACTATGTAATATCTATAGGCAAGAAATGATTGAAATAAGAAAGGAAAACAGCAGCTGACGACGTTCGCTTGTTACCCACGGAACTAAATTGTAACATATTATGAATAACATCTTTCATAACGGACATATATCACTACATTGAAAGCCCGAAGTTGATGTATATCTTTTCAGAATTTTTTTATTTAAATCGTATTTCACATATTGTGCTAATAGCTTTTTATTATTTACAATAGACATTTTGAAAAAATCTAAATTCTATCGTATTTCTGTTTTTTTTTTATCCTAGACACTCAGTCATCTCTAATTTCAACTGCTCCAACTGCTTTTACTGAATATCCTCTAATAAATTCTACAACAACAGCAACATCATTACCATCTACTGAACCGTCTCAATCACATCGTGTACATTTTATATCTCATTCTCCTCATTTTTCATCTCCTACAACTGGCCATACAACAATGCCAATACAAATTCCATCATCGTCAAATACCGGTGTTCCTACAACATCATTACCACAATTAACAAATTTATTTCCATTATCCCAATCTCATTCATTACCAACTTATTTTCTTCCAACAGGAAATATTGCTTATATAACAACAGCAACATCAACAACAAATCCATCTGGTACACCATTTGATTTAACATCATTAACTGGTAATACAAGTCTTTTATTAATAACAAGTCCAACACAACATCCAACACAACCTATACAAATATTAACACCAATTGATCATCGTTCATTTCAATTTGCACATTATACACCAACAAATTTATTTGTACCTCCACCTGTACCACCACCACCACCACCTATACCACCAACACGTGTATGCAATATTCTACAATCAACATCAACAACAAATGAATCAATGTCTATATTACAAAATAAACGACATGAAAATGAAGAAGATAAGCAAATTCAACGATCATTAGAAACTAATAAACAATCTACTGACCAATTACCGTTTAAAAAACGACGTTATACTGGTCAACAATCACGAATGTCTAATATTCATAATGATGATGATGACGTATCTGATGAATCTGTAAAAAAGTAATCATCATTTTTGGTTTTTTTTTTGTTTTTTTATTCAATAATATTTCTGTCTGCTTCTGTTCTTCTTTTTTTGTATTGTATATAGTGTGGGTTATTTTCTAAGTCATTTTGTTTTTCTGTTTTTTTTTTGTTTTTTTTTTCGAGTGGGTCCTTTTTATTCAAAGCAATCAATATTTTACTGTTATGTAAATACATATATATGTATATTTTATTCTATATTTGTTTTGACAAAATGTCTGATGCTATGAGCAGTGTGTATATCATGAAGGAGTAATTGTTTGACCGGTGTTTGAAATAA